CCCCAGTAAGGGACGAAACGTTCAACAAGATCAAATAAATTTGTTCATCAAAATTTATTAACTGTCTTCAATTTTCCCTTTGAAACTCATATATATTAATTTAATAATTATCTATATTATATAAATATTTATATAAACGGAATGCATATTTTCTTATTTATACTTTATTTGCTGTATATAATTTCGCTTATTATTTTAGATCAATTTTGTCAGTGATTCATCTAATATTTGAATATATTCTTTTATAAGATTTATTGCATTTAAAAAACTCTGACTGCATTTTTTAATATAATTCATACTATTTAAGTAACTTAAATATTTATTCTTTTTTAAATGTAAAATTTGTACGCCTAAACTATATATTTTAATGTGATCTTCTGAACTAAAATATGCTCCATATATTTTTATATTCCAACAATCTTTTTCTAAAATAGTACTAGCAATAAATAATGTAATAATGGCATTGTAATTCAAACCATCCCTTGTAAAAGCCATGTTTTCATTGAATTTATTAGAGACAATAAATTTTAATGCATGCTTTGATATTGTAACGCATGATTGGATATCAAATATATTGAAAACAACCTCATCCAGTGGGTTATTAGGTATAAAAAAACCATAATCTATATACAGTTTAAGACTGTTATGAGGACCATAATTGATAAAGACCTGAGAATCCCTTTTAAATGGTTTCAAAGTAGAAAGTTGATAGAATTTATCTTTATATTCATCTACAATTAATGAAACTGATACAGAAGCATTTATATCATGATTGAATAAATCTAAAAATGGTGCCAATGCTAAATTATTTGGTGATTCTATTTTTATTAAATTATCCTGTATCTCTTTTTCATTTATATATACAGATCTGGTATTTACAACATAATACGCCCACTTATATTTATTGAATGTCATTATTGTTTCAAGAGGAATATTACAATGAGAGCAATAATTTTTTTCTTTTTCTTTTAATATTTCTACGCTTCGCATTAAAAAAGAAAAACGTCTTACTATATTATGTACATTGTATATCTGCTTTTGAATGAAATTAGGTAACAATTTCTTTTCTTTTGACGTACAAAATTCCGGCGTAGAAAAATATTGTGGAAGTGAATTTATATAGGGATACCATTTTGATGAAGTTCCTAAATGGTCTTCATATATTAAAAATACTGAAAGTAAATGTTGAGCATTATAACTTTGATCCTTTGAAAATAAAATTCTAACATTAGATTCGGACACATTAAGTGTCGTTATTAACATTTTAATAGGTAATTTAATCAAAATTTCATTTTCTTTTATATTCCTTATTGTTTTTAAACCTCTGCCAGTAATTGGAAAATTAGTAGGAATGAAGTTAGAAGTAGAACAAGAGTTTTGAAATAACCAATATTTTAAGAAATTCATAGCATCATTTTCTTCGGACTTTAATTTTTGCATATTTAATTTCTTCTTTTGACGTTTCCGTGACGTACGACCCATTGTGATATAAGAAAATATTTAGGTACTCTGCAGAAACAATAAGTAAAAAGAAATAGTTTACGTGTCTAAAATATTCCTCTTGTTAAAATATCTGATAAAATGTCTGTGTGTGTGAATAAAAATAGTATTATATTATTTATATAGAGTAATTCTATATATAAATTTATTACAAATATTTAGGAATGACAGATGAGATCGTTATAAAAAACTTTCATATAGCAACTTATGTCTGAAAATATTTTATTAATGCAAATGAATTATAAGGCTGGGCTTTTCTGCTCATAAACGAATAATAAACACAACACGTTCTGTAATTACAAAATAAAACGTTTCAGGGATTCACAAATTCCCACATAAGTATACGTTACTCATGATTATCTCCTCTATCATCTCTAAAAGTTTATAACTAACAATAAGTCACGGAATTACACAGAAAACATCTCTTCACATTTGAATTTTAAATGATGTTTAAGATATTATATATAATTTCCAATAAACTAATATTTTTTTTAATATTTATTTATTATTATATATAGAAGTAGATTTTTTATTGAAATAAAAATTTGTTATCTTATGGTACTATTAAACATTTTATATTACCCTTATTCCTAGGATTGGTAATGGGTATGGTCCAACATTGATAAGTCTTCTTTCTTTCATTAAGATATTTTGTCTTGAAATATTGGTTGCATACGTAAACGATGTAATCCAAATATTCTTATGAGTTCTTAATGCTTTATATAGTTGACGATTTAGGATGACACTTAACATGTTTCTAAAATATTATTACGAAAATGAATCGAATGAATCAATAAAAATCAATTGGGAAATTGCACATTCTTAATAGAAAATTGACTAGATTATATGATTTTTTTTTAAATCAGTTCAGTTAATATTTATTTTCGAACATATTATATACAACTTACAATGTACGTTACGTACTCACGAGGACTAACTTCATTCTATACATGGATTGCACAAGCGTGGTTCCTGATAGTATCCGCGCAACATTTCTGCACATCCTCTACGAATTTAAATGTACTTCCTAAAGATAAGGATAATATTTAACTTTAATATTATTATAATATCTAACTTTAATAGAGGGAATTAATAAAAAGTAATATTTTTTACAAAAATATAACTCGCTTTTAAATATTTGTATTGATATAAATTAATTAACGATATGAAAAACGTGAACTATCAACCCTCAACAAATTGTATAGTTAATTTTTAATAATCTCAGTCATTTGTTTCGATTTGAATAATGTCTCATATGGATTGTTAAATCAATTTATATGAGTCATGCAAAATTAAAAGATGCGTAAAAATTATCTAATGAATCTCTGTACTTATACTCTACTGACTTTAATTATTTACGCGTTATGAATCTAGATAGCGCTCCATGTGTAAAACCAAACTTTAACAAACGCGCCATGAAATATCATAAAATGGAATTATTCTTTGATTTTAGATAATATTCATTTATGTATTGCAGATTTTTATTGATTACTACAACTGTAAATAATTATTAATAAAAAATGCATTATTTGTGAGAAATCACATTATTTTATTTACAATATAAACATATTGTTTATATAGTGTACAGTTTGTAGTTTATAGTTTATAGTTTATAATTTAGTCATTCGTTTTATTATTCATAATTTTAGGCGGTAAATTTAAATCGACAATGGGTAATAGTATTTGTTTTTCAAATAAATACGAAAGAATTTTTTATTTTTTTATGTGGATCGGTGGAGTTGCCTATTCAATTTACAATGTTTATTTAACGAATACACGTAAGTAGATACAATATAAATAATTATAATTAGGAGAATGAGCATTGTAAATAATTTTTTTATTATTAGATTTTAAAGATTATTATGATGTATATTCTGATTTTGTACCTGGATGGTTATGGATTGGAAGAAAGCAAGATGTTTCTGATCAAGAGTGGAGAGTATGGATTCCATTAATGATTACTTTAATACCTTGGATATTTCTACATCATGTAGTTAGTCAAATCATTAAAAATGTATTCAACAAAGTGGTATGTTATGTCTATAAATCACTAACACGTATTTCTGTATATGATATTATTTATTGACATACATTTTTAGCAATTATTGTGCTGCTGGTATACCTTGATATCTATCCTTTTTCTGTGCTATTATCTTGGAACAGTGGGCACGTTATGTATATTGGCACAATCATCGCTATTATATTTACTAAATTATGTTAATAGCAAAAAGATTATTTGGCTTGTACATGTATTATTTTTATTTATAATACATGTTTGTAAAATACCAAATGGTTTCTTTTACCAGTGGTTACAATATAAAGATGACGAGCATTATCTTTTATTACTCGCAATGTGTTGGATTCAATTGAGATCTATCAGTCAAAATATGAATACTTTTAAAATGCACTATATGAAAAATTACACAAATTTTTTTAATAACTATCTTCAAATGTTGGCATATTGTTTATATTTACCTACACTTTTTTTGGGTCCATTAATTTTATATCATGAATTTTTGAATGCGGTATGTATATTTCATTTGGTAATGTTTATAAAACATTAAGTAGATAAATTTGTACATTAAAATGTTTTTAGTTGGATAAATCGCCATCAAAGTGGAATTTCATGAGAGCGCAGAAAATAATAATTAATCTAATTAGATATATTTTTTGGTATTATTTTACTGAATTTTCATTGCACTTCGTTTATATTAATGTGCTTCAATATCATCCAAAGGTATGATTTGTTTTTGACTATTAATTGTATTATTTTACAGTATATATTTTTTCTTTTTTCTACAGATTGTAGAAAATTTAAATTCATGGGCTCTATATGGTCTAGGATATTGTATGGGGCAATTTTTTCTAAATAAGTATGTTGTTATTTATGGAATTAACAAAACTTTATGTGAAGCAGATGGCATAGAAGCCCCCTTGCCACCTAAATGTATTGGGAGAATTCATTTATATTCAGATATGTGGAAATCTTTTGATAGGGGTTTATATAAATTTCTCATTAGGTGGTATTTTAATCTTTTGCGTTTATTACAATTAAAATCTAATTGCAGGAATATTATTGAAATTTTAATAATTATTTGTAGATACATTTACGTACCTGTAATGAACACTACGAACTCAAAGAGCTATCATAAAAAGTTGTTTGCTTCTTTTTTATGCTTTACATTTGTTTTTTTATGGCATGGAATGCAAACCAATATCTTTACATGGGCACTTTTGAATTTCATTGGTTTAAACATCGAAAACTTATCAAGAATAATAGGGAATACCAAAATATATAACAAAATTCTAGAAAAATATCTCAGTTCTTGGAATAGAAGACGACTTAATTGTGCATTAGCTAGTATTCTTTTGGCAATGTCTGCAATATCAAATTTTTTTTTCTTTGCGGGACAAAAAATTGGAAATATATATATAAATCGAATATTAAATGGTAAATATTATATTATTTATATTTATTCCAAATAATTATATATAGCACTATATTCAAAAAGATAGTAATTTGAACATTTTATGCAGATTCGTGGAGTACTACATCGCTTCTACTTTTTTTTCTTTATTGTTGTTGTCATGTTTCGATAGACACGAAATTGATGAAAATGTAACAATGTGTTAATTTAATTTCTTAATTAATATAGATAAATTCGTAATTCGTTTATCGTTTCTTAACTTTAAACATTGTACAAGGATTAGTTTTTTCAACGAGGCAAAATCATTGATATGAAAATGTTTATAAGAATTTATTAAAGATAAATATATAAAAGAAGAGTACAAAAATATAATACATAATTGTTATTATTATTCATTGTATTAGTATGTTTTTGTAATTTACTTATTAATTATAATAAAACCTAATAAAGACATAGTATTTCTAATATTATTGCTATAATTATAAGTAAGTTATATTACTAATTCCTGTTCTTATTCGATCATATATTTTTGTTTCTTCTTTCTCAGAACGTAAATCATAAGGCACATATCTATTTTCATTTTATATAGGTAATTTCTTATTAATTGTTTATTGTATGTAATCGTACAAATACATAAAAATTAACTGTGTGAATACTATTATTACTATTCCTTTAAGTAATAACAAAAGCAAGATAAAAAATTATGCAAAATATCTACTACTTTATATTTCTATATTTATGATGTAAAATTAAATTCAGCATAATACGAATATATAAAAATTAGTAAAATATATAAGATTAGAATAATATAGAAATATTGAGAAATATACTACAATATATATATAGTAATTTATAATTTTTAATCATCTTAATTTTATATGACATGTATTATATATATTATATAAAAAATATATAAAAAATAGAACATAAACAATTGTTATAATTGTAGCAGGTTTTGTAACGTAATAACTAATGTCTGATTAATATATGTTATATTACAGGAATGTTCATATAAAAATCTGTGATAATATTAGATAGACTCTATAATTGTGGGGCTATGGAAATTTTTAATAAAAGAGATGTGGAAAATTTGGCACATTGGTTTCTAAATTACAAATTCTATAATAAAGAGATATGATTAATCCACATTCTTAAATATTATAATATTTCATAAGTCTTTTATCGAGGAATACATATCTACTATGACAATAAATTTTAAAACTTTTCGAGTACTTCTTATTATACTCCACTATTTCTCTCTCTCTCTCTTAAATTACAACTAGATTTGCATATAATAAAAACTGTTAATGAATAGATTTTACGTACATCCAAAATTTGTTATGTAAGACAAACTACTAAAGAAATATTATTAACTAATTATATAATATTGAAGTATTTATATAATATCTAATATGACACACAAATGTCATTGTATTTCATTGCACAGGATATGTAAAGTAAAATGTATAAACTAAAAGCCATATTCGATCATTTTTTATTTGATGGCTGGATTAAGTAGTTATTTTAAAGTAAAATATAAAACATATTTCAATTTTCAGTTATCTCAGATTACTACATATTACTATACTTTATAATTTTTATGATATTCCTTCTAAATATATAAAGATAATATTGGTCTTATTTTTATAGATAATATTAAAAAAATATTAATTGCAATTATATAATTTCAGATCTTTTACTAAACTAACAATAATTAAAACGAATATACCATAACATTTTCGAAAATTTATATACTTTGTTACTATAAACATGAAGTAAACGAATAAGTATAGAATGAAAAGCCAAACTTTTCTATAGAATGCAATTATTTCTTTCATATCATATAGAGGACAGGAGGAACAGTATAACTTCTGTTAATAATAATTAGGCAACATTTTAATGTTTTAAGATAGTATTCTAAATATAGAAAATATTACTTTTACTATTAAAATTTCATGATTATTAATAAATTTCAAGCCTATATCCTTTCTTGTGTGCAATTTTATGTACATCATATACATAAAATATTTTAGGCTAAATCAGTCGAAATATATTTAATATGAATATCAAAATATTATTAGTAATTGACTCTTCAAAATTATTATTTTTTATCCTATGTGAAAATAATCAGGCACATAAAACACCACTTATAAAAATAGTATTGATTTAAAAATAATATAAAAGAATAAAATCTAAATTTCGAATAAGAATTGTAAAATTTATTTTATTTTTAGAAGTTTATTATTAACTGCACAAATATATAAATTTGTGCATATTTAATGGTATATTGCTACTTTCTTTTTTGCAGATATTTGGTATTATTATTCATGTTTATTAGTACTATTCCTTTATCTAACCAATACCAAAAAATCTTTTATTTAATTTGCAATATACCATTTTTTGAAGCATTATTTGATAACAACAAAATTGCACTCTGTTTTCCGTTTTGTATTAAATTAACTCCTTCTGTACACTTATTAAGCACAGTAACTTTTGTAGATTCATTAACTTGCAATTTCTGTTGATTTTGTTGATAGTATAAGATAAAATTACATGGTACTG